CTTGATGAATACTTGAAATAGTCCGTTTTCACCAAGACGCGACCATCCGAAATAATATATATATATATATATATATATACTATGATGACCAGTTGAAATAGTAAATGTTTACCATGACGCCCATTTACAATAATATATTTTAATATTTTTGTAATCTTGTCCGTATGTGTATTGTTTATACATATCTAAGTTGTGGCTTTAATAATCCAAACAATCTTAATCAAAGAGCTTCTACAGGTAAGATAAAATACAAATATGATAAATAATATATGGAAAATAAGACAGGTGGTTTGTATTAGAACCCTCTTGTACTTATTAAAGATTTTTTTTTGTGAATGACCATATATAAGAAAGGAAGGAAAATCATATTTTCAAAGCATAACATCAAACCAACTGAGAGCAAACCCCAGTTTTCCAACACGATAACAAAAGATGCTGTAATTAAGTACATAAGTGTGTTAATGAAAAATCAAGTGATAATTACAGAGTTAATTAGCTAATAACAGCAGTCAGTAAAGCTCCAAGACTTCTCTGTGACCTTACTTTAAAGCCGTCATACGTCCAAGATCCAAATTTCATCACACAGGTTTGTTTATCAAATGGAAAGTATTCCACGTCTATGATACATGAGCTTTTGTAGATGGCAGGTGGTTTCCATTCTATTACTCCTCTGTAGTTTACCTGGGCCTTCGTGGTTAACGTCACTTCAAAGTTTCCATCAGCGCTGAAAGTTAAAACAAATAGTGTAGTTAAAGTCACTTCAAACTTTCCATTAGCGCTGAAGGCTATACGGTGTAGAATCATTTCAAATTTTTCTCATCGCTGAGAGTTAAAAAAAGTGTAGTTAAAGTCACTTCAAAGTTTCCATCAGCGCTGAAAATTTAAAAAAGACTAATTAGCGCTGAATGTTCACTAAAAGAATAACACTAAAGTTTACTCTTTAATTATATCTACTGAAGGTATTACAATACATTTATCAAATGTTCCTTGTATGGTAATTTTAAATAACAATATCAGACTAGTGTATCATAACTATAAATAATAATATGTTTTCAACATAGCAACAATATCAGACTAGTGTATCATAACTATGAATAACAATATGTTTTCAACATAGCAACAATATCAGACTAGTGTATCATAACTATAAATAATAATATGTTTTCAACATAGCAACAATATCAGACTAGTGTATCATAACTATAAATAATAATATGTTTTCAACATAGCAACAATATCAGACGAGTGTATCATAACTATAAATAATAATATGTTTTCAACATAGCAACAATATCAGACGAGTGTATCATAACTATGAATAACAATATGTTTTCAACTTATGATACACTAGTCTGATATTGTTGCTATCCTATGAATAACAATATGTTTTAACCATAGCAACACTATCAGACTAGTGTATCATAATTATGAATAACAATATGTTTTAAACATAGCAACACTATCAGACTAGTGTATCATAACTATAAATAATAATATGTTTTTACAA